TTTGTCTAGTAGAAGCAAAATGCGCAATCAGTGAATGAATATAAATATGTACGGGTTTTCGTAGATGAAAGATATTTCAGTTAATAAAAGAACTATATAAAGGATAGAATATTTATCTAAGATAGAATCGACAAAAGTGAGTAGATATTTAGACTTCTGCCTTAGTGCCGATTATACAAACTCTTTTATATGTTCCTAAAGAGAGAGATAAATGGAATTTTGACAAAAGTTTTATCTGACTAATATAAAGAGACATTGTCTGTTTTGTAATTCCGTGATAAATATCACAAAATCAAAAATCATCAGCAAAATTTTCCACATATTCAGCTTTATTCACAAACATACTTCGGTAGTCTTTCTAAGTATACTTCTCATTTCTTTCATCACTACTAAGTGCAATCATACATAAAAGCCTTCTCTGTTGACTTTCTCATACATTTTATTTTCTAGCATGTTCACTGGAAGTCTCATTCAATAGATAAGTGTGTATACATCATTTTACAGATAACATCTACTAGCTGGATAACATCTAGTAGCTATCTATATAGAAATAACATACGTTGGATAGATAAAAATTGATAATTATAATACATGAAATTTGTTATTAATTTACCATCACAAATAAAATGACAATAAAAATGATTTTATGATAAATTTCTTTTTCTCTCTACCACCAACAGAGACATGAATTACTGACGCCATTGACGAGAAAATATTCGGAAACGACAGTGTAATTTTACACAATATTATACAAAATGAACAGACTTTTTGCATTGTCAGATTATAATTTGGCAAAGAAGTAGATTAATTTATCTTAAGTATAGTTAAAATATCTGATGAGTATTATGCACCGGGTGATGCCCCTGTTATAGCGAAAAAGATGAGGGTTGACTCGTCTTCCGTATCACAGATGTTTATTATTATTTACGCAGATTTGATGCAAATGTTGCAGTGTACGATACTGAACTTGGAAACTTTGTGTACGTATTGTTCTTAGATAAGAAAATGTTTGCTAAAAATTGAAACAAAAGAATATTTCTTAGGCGAGTATAAGGTGCTGAAAATTCAAAATCATATCAAATTCTTTTTTTATTTATTTGCTCCTAGTTGGATAGAGCGCATTGTGCTGAATTTTTCACCAAAACATGAAAATTTTTATTTTTTGGTGAAAATCTCAGTCATTTTTCGATGTCCAAATTCGAAAAAAATAAAAGTGGTTGGATAGCAGAGCATGGACGAGTATACAAGTAAAAGTACTTGTACTTTAGAACAGTACTTTGCTATCGCCTTACATATTTTTTGAAAGATAACTGAAATGTTAAAAATAATTATCATTCATGAAATGTTGGTCATGTTTTGAGTAATAAGAGCTAATATCTGAAATTTCTATTATTGGTTACTAAGTGATACAGGCTCATGATATTCAATGTTATTTTTCGATCGAGGAAAAACATTGATTCTTCCGTATATCAAGGTTACTTGTATTGTAATGAAAAAATAAGGTATCGCAGAATCTATGCATCCAATGTGATTAAAGGTCATGTCAACACACAGACGGTCGAAATTTATGCAAAACTTCGTTATTTCAGCTATCTATATTCATATTTTAACGTTAGATAATATTACTAAGTACACCACTGCCACTGAAGGTATTTTTGGTATACATCATTTGTTTCGAATGCTATTTTTACTATAACTAATTCGAATATATTTTCTCATCTGTTGAAATATTGAGACTAGCCGGATTAAGAGTCCAATATCTATTTTTAACTTTGTTTTTAAAGTCAGAGTTCCATATGCTGTTCACACAAAAGAACATGTGCAAATATACAAACTATTAAGTTGTTTTTTTTTTTGTTTTTAATTGAAAATAAAAATGAGATAATTATATTTTTCTCATGTCTTTGATCGTGTTCTTTAAAAACATAGAATATATTCTTTTCTATCTAATTTCTTCGACAAATCTATATTTTTCTTTTGCTAAATATATTAATCATTGCAGTTCTTTTTTATCTTTAAAAATAGTAGCTAGATAAATCTATGACGACGCATCATCTATATTTTTTTTTCTGTTCTATTTAAGAGAATTATTTTTCTTCTCTTTTTNAGATAATTATATTTTTCTCATGTCTTTGATCGTGTTCTTTAAAAACATAGAATATATTCTTTTCTATCTAATTTCTTCGACAAATCTATATTTTTCTTTTGCTAAATATATTAATCATTGCAGTTCTTTTTTATCTTTAAAAATAGTAGCTAGATAAATCTATGACGACGCATCATCTATATTTTTTTTTCTGTTCTATTTAAGAGAATTATTTTTCTTCTCTTTTTTTTTCTTCTTTTTCTTCGAGAGGTCATTGCATATATTTTTTCCGGAGTTTATAGAAGAGGGGAAGGATAAAGAAATAAGAAATTCTAGCTTATTGTTTTTGAAGTAAATCGAGCATTCTTTTCTTTTTGTTTTTATATATTATCAATTGTTTTTTTTCATCAAAGTAACTAAAATACATAGTGTCAGTTTTATAGTTTTTCTAGGGGGATAATATGAGTAAAAATGGAAAAAAACTTCGAAAAGAAGTTGTTATAATTGGTAAATTTGTTTAATTATCTTCGTCAATAATAGAATTAGACGTTTTTCTGATTTTAAGGGAATGGTCCATCTGCAATAACTTTATCCTATATTCTATCTGGGAATTGGCCCTATTGGAATGGATGCCCGGTATCAAATGAATATTTAAATATAAAATTAGAACAATTTGTTAAAGATAACTCAATATTAGAACAGGTTAGTTTTCAATTTTTTCTTAATATTTTTCTTAGTAATTTTAATGAAATGTTTTAGGATTTGGAAATGTTGTCGGATGGTTTAGAAGGGCGTACACGTAATCCAATAGCATTATTATTTGATTCTTTACTTCATCCGGATGCCGATTTGGGCGTTAATTCACAATCAAAATTATTCTGGAAACATGTTCCAAATCAAATTATTGACCATGTGTGTATTGGACGTGAAACACCCGGTGGTGTGTGGAATAAACTTACATCCCAACATTTATCAACAGTATCCCTTGCGAATTGGATGGAATTACCTAATTATCCATTTTCAACATTTCGACAACAAATTAATCAACATGAAAATAGTGATAATCCACATCACAATCAGAAAGATTCGAAACGTGCCAGTTACGATGAAGTTCGTCAGTATTATAAAGACTATGTAAAACGTCAACAGTTACAAAAAAATTTTCTCAATAATCGCGAAGTAACATCAATACAACGTGTTTGTGGTGAACCTGCCTATTATGATGAAGTGAAAGATGAAATACGTCCAACGGAACTATTGTGGGAAATTAGAGGCCACAAAACAGATACACAAAAACCATTTTGTATATATGCAAAATATGTTGTATTAGCAACAGGTAAACAACACGTTCATTTTGTCATCTTTGAATATTGTTGTTAATTTCATTTGACTATATCCTAGGCACAACTCAAGAGCTAACACGTCCACTGGATATAATCGACAAAGACCAATCACATTCATTTATCAAGTCAACATTAACTGATATTGAATGTTTAATTAAAGAGAAAAAGTTAACACCAGACAGTAAACCATTGTTGGTCATTGGATGTGGTCTATCAGCTCTTGATGTAGTTTTATTATGTGAAAAATATTCAATACCGGTTATACATGTATTCCGAAAGTCCATCGATGATCCAGATTTGGTATGTAACAAATTATCATCAAACACGTATGCAGATTACGAAAAATTATTTGAAAAAATGAAACATGCTGTTAAACAACAACAATTAATAAATACACAAACGGTAAATATTAAAATAGTATTTAGAATTGATTTAAAATTAATCGTTTGCAGGTGAAAGTTAAGGAAAATAAATGCATTTCATCTAATTGAATACATTTAAATTTCAGCCTGTTCTCAACATACATGAGAATACCAATGTTTCTTCATTAGATAAAGTCCCAACATTGTATCAATGTTTACCTCACTGCGATATTCTATCGATAACGGAAGATGGTATTGTTCATATCCGTAATTTAAAATTATCAACAAAAACTCAACTGATCCAGTATAAGTACAATATATCGTATGCAGCTAAACTGACTGGATCAGAAATTAAATTAAATTTCTTCGAAGACGAAGGACAACATTTGGGGAGTATTAAAACAAAAACATTACAACCAAATGATAATCCGATATTGATCAATCCAATAACGTATGAATGTGCAGCAGTTGATCATCTCTATGCCATAGGACCATTAGTCGGAGATAATCTAGTAAGATTTTTGCAAGGAGGAGCATGTGCTGTTGCTGCTAGTCTATTAAAAGCACTCAAATCATCTAATAGAAAAACTTCAACTACAATAACAACGACATTATCAAGACGTAGGCGGTGAAAGGATGTGTATGGTGCGAATAGTCCATATCTTGAGTGGTGCTTTTTTATCTCTGTTCTAAGAATAGATTAAATTTTGTTTGTTTTCGTATCGTAAATTCATGTGTTTATATACATTTCTTAGTTTTTATAACCTTTTTTCATTTACGTTTGAGAGGAATACGTTTTCCGTAGTTCTAAACTTGAAGCAAGAATTTTTTACTTGCTTGTTTTACCTTTTCACCTATTTGCTCCTACGAATCTTTTTTTTACGTTTTCTTCCACAAAATTTCTTGTGATATGAATTGAATTTTCGACGATGCACGTCCACTAGAGTACAGTTCCTGTTTTCATGAGGATGTTTACGTAGTAAAAGAGATACCGTTTGGTTATCTTTGTGCAATCGATGATCATGAGTGCGGTTTGTATCAAGAAAACAGGCAACTGTCAAATCATAATGATTTTTAATTCAATTTTGTGGTGATTTTTCGTACCGGTCTTTACTGTCGTCTTGCTTAGACTAAAATAAGCCACAGCGAGATACGTATTCAACTTAAATATTATTTATTTGTTTCCTGCTTGTTTCATTTCTGTCTTAAAAATTTAGCATCAACGTACATGTGTGAACAAATAAATTTATGTGAAGAGTGTTTATTGTTAAGAATATTAGACTGTGATTATTGAACGACCAAAAACTAAAAATCACCCACTATTTTTATACTACTTCCACTTTTTTCGCTAATATTTGGCTCTAGTTTTCTGTAAGTTATAATGCAGATTAAGATTTTTTATTTGTAATAGATCGCGTGTTAGTAGGTTTGTTGATATAAATTGCTATATCTATGAGTGTATTTGGAATTATACAAATAATAACATTTTTTGTTTTTATTTTTATGTATTTATTTTGAGAAGCGTTTGGTGAATAGAACATTTTTTTAAACATTAGCACAGTAGAAACGATTTGCCTTTTGTATAGACAATTTTTTAATAATAGATAGGACAGAGAAAATTTTGAAGATTGTAAGTGAAACGTATCATACTGTTCTTAAAATAAAATTGGATTCATGGTAGGTAAAATGGATGGAATCGAACAAAAGAATGAAAAGTTGTGAGGAATCTTGCCAGTAAACGTTAAACATTTCTTTAGTGTACAACCGCTTTAAACGACTAGTGGGGACATTTGTATACTTTTAGTAGTACTATATGATACATATAACCAGCTCCTGGCATCGTTCACTTTTTATACAGTATTGGAGTATTCTTTGAAGTATAATCATGATCAACTGACTTTTTTTCTGAAACAAGCTTACTATATATGTGCTAAGGATCCTACTGTAGGGTTGCAGTAGGATTCTATCTGATTTTCCGATGGTTGCTATAGCTGCTGCTTGTCGCTACCTTCACTCACCGCTAGCCACCCAGGTCGAAGAATCGTACTAGGATCGTATCTGAATCAGACAAAATCGTACCAAATCGTATGAAAATCATATATGAATCGTGGTATCTGATTTGCCCTCTGGATCGTATAATACGATCGTACAAGATCATACACGATCATACAACTTCGTATGAAATCGTACAGTACGAGCCAGACGACAAATCAGGAGCCTGTTTCTTAAAAAAACTTAAGTAGAAAATCTTACTTAAGCCAAAAAAGACAAAGACTTTTTTAGACTTAAGTTTGACTTAAGTAAGATTTTCTACTTAAGTTTTTTTAAGAAACAGGCCCCGGTACCACGATTCGTATGTAGATCGTACGCAATCGTATATGATTTCGTACGATTCGTATACGATCTTGTACGATCGGATAGTACGATTCAATCACCTGGGCAGTCCTGAGCTGCGATCAAGTGTGTGAGCTCATACGTTGTCGAACAGTAGCGAGTTTCGATGGCTCGTAGTACTCAGTGCAAAATTCGAGCCTATAACTGAAAAAGAATTTTTCATTGTCTACAGCAGAGTTTATTTATATTAAAATTACCTCAGAAAAACACGCCTGTGCTTGTGTTCTCGTATAAAAAAAGAAAAGAAAATGTATTCAGAACGAAAAAATAGGAATCCTATGAAATCTTACTGTACGATTTTGCAAGAAATGCATACGATTCCTGTTATAGAATATAATAGGAATCCCATAAGATTTTTGCTACCATAGAATCCTATGGAATTCGTGTCGAAGGATTTCGTAGGATTTCACAGGACCCTAAAATAGGAATCCTATGAAATCTTATTATCAGTAGGATCTTGTAGAATTGGTTGACCTGGATAGCTTTTTCAGATGGTGCTACATACACACACTAATTTTAATGGCTTAAATATTCACCAACCAAACATAAGATGAATCATCTAATTTCACTAATAACCGCTGCTTTGAATTTATGATGTCTTAAAATTCTGTTTGATAATTCTGTCCCGAATCAGTCTACAACAGAAAAAAATGCGCTAAAATTTTCATTGAATTAGTCTGTTCAAAATAGTTGATCTCAAGCAGTGATCGGAAGACCAGGGCCGGCATCACAAAAAGTCTTACCTTAAGCGTCGAAGTGTATTCTCATCAACAATGGCTGATCTTGGTCGTTGTCATCATTTACTTGGTTTAAGCTTTATTGATAGAAAATAAATAATAAGGCATGCAATTGACCCTAAGGCCTTTACAGCATCATTCACTTCTTAGGATGCATGCTAATAAGGATTTTTTGATACGGTCACTATGGGATATAACTTTTCGATCTGCAACACTTTCTATTTCGATTGAATTTAAAGGAATATAGAAACTATATGAAGGCCTATAACGGCAAAAAATATGTCTGGAAATAAGTTGTAGTACCGTAGAAAGAGACATATAAGAGCTTTTTGTCTGCAATTTGAAAAGCATAGCTCAATCTTTCTTAGAAACTGAGACTAAGAAAATCCTGTTTAGACTATGTTGTACTATATCATTTTTAGATTTATGGTTATCTTTAGTTATTAGTCAAAATGTGAGTTGTAATTTAGTTAAAGAACAAAATAATAGCTACCTGATTTTTTTTGAAGTAAGAACAACTGCCTTTGCCTTTCATTTCACTCAGACTTTGTGTCGAAAATAAACAACTGAAAGTATTAAATTGTGAGATGAGGGTTACTATATTACAAATACTGCATTTAAAACGAAAAAGTAGAAAATATCTATTGTTTAGAATCAAATTAGAATGGTATTAGAATCGAATCATATCAACGTGTTGTTTTCATTTGTTCGTTCAATATCGAAATTAAACGAACCTGACCAAGTACTTTCATCAAACAAAGTTCGTTTTTGCAAAGTTCGTTTAACTATCATCCATGAATCATTCAGTTTCATATCCTTTTTAGCGTGCAAATATATTACTAAACTCTTTATTAAAGAAAATCCGTGAACTTCTTAGACATTCAACATTATCCATTGATCATCGAACAGAAAATATTATTGTTGCATTAGCTATTCTAGTTGTTGAGGCAAACGATGGATTAAAAGTAAAAAATGTTGATACCAAGCTCTCATACATACTCAGTACATTTTTTGCTTTTGCTCTCTAGCTAAAACAAGATGTCATTAAAGTTCTATTAGAGTTCTATCAAAAATTACCAACAGCCAGATATTATGAAATACCACCATCAACTTATAAGCACGGTAAATTTTTTAATCATTTGATAAGAGCCATGTTTCTTCCAGATCAGATGACTTTTAATAACGACTAATGTTATTTAATATTCGTTCAGTATAGTTCTTAATCGTTTGATGAAGATCTCAATCTTTTTAAAACCTCATCCTGCATAATTTATCTCACTTGTTATTTTTCATTGTAGTCTTACCACCTGCTGAAACGTTTAGTTTTTGTATTCATACAGCACTGACAGAATTAGCTTCAATAACAGATGATATAAAATTAAAGGATAAAGTATATTAAAAAATTATTGTTTGGAAAAATCGTAAAAATTAATTTTCGTTGTAGATTCTTTCTACAATTACAGATGTTATAAAACAAATTGTTCAACGTATTGTCGATTCTGCTAACGGTCAACTACCAACAACAAAAGGTAGATAATGAGAATTCATCTTACACTGTAGAGTTTCACTGTTTTAATTTAGAGAGACAGAAATCTATTTATCGTTATGAAATACCATTTTTATTTGGAGCATTGCGTTCAATTGGACGGTAGTTATAAATTGTGTTCACATATTTATCATAACATAGACTTGTTTATTTCAAAGAATATCGGCCACTGATCATACGTTACTATCTCAATTATATCCCATCAATCTTTTACCTCCTACACAATCAATTTATATCGAACAACTATCCACGTCCCCATTAATATCAAATTCAACAAATAATAATGATACAACAAAACAGAAACAATTCAAAATTTCAACAATTGCATTTCGTCCAATTATTCCAAAAGCATTATCTAAAAATGTCTTATCATCGATGGAAAATCAACAATCATCATCGACTACAAATATTGAACAAGATTATTTATCATCCACAACGATAACAGCTTATAATCATTTAGCATCAACTTATCGATCATTATCGTAAGTATCATGTACACTACCCAGATATTAAAGCAAAAATCAGTTATGTTTTTCAGAAAATTTTCACATTACTTTAAATTAGAGTACGTAAGCGTGGCTTTGCTAATAACAAAAATAACTTTTTCGCAATTTTTTCTGTGTATGTTTAATTGCTGACGTATCTTCTTTCTACTGTTATAGTTGCTCTAATTTTGTTTATTACAGACGATTGATTGCCGGGACAGGTGTTGATCGGCATATAATTGTTTGTTTTTCGGCGACTATAAAATGATTTCAATGTTGTATGAATTTGTTTAATTTAAGAACAAATATCGCAAATTCTGGGAAGACGATCGGCTAAAATAGCATGAAAATTTTCCTTCCGTCTTGTAATAGACATCCTTTTGAATTGAATTGAATTGCTTATTTTCGTTAGTGTCGTGCTGATATGAGCTTTTTTCCAGTGACTTAGCTAACGACGGAACGTTCCCAACTGATAAATTGCTTTCGGATCGAAACCTAGTGAACTATAGATAGTCGACCATGCTGATTCCGGATGTCAACATGAGACGTGCTGCTAGGTCTCCAGAGACTAGTTTTATAGAAAACCACTTTTCCAGAAACTCCAGAAAATCTTCGAAGCTTTTCTTAATAAGTCACGTTTGTAGCGCGCGAAATTCGGATTAAAATGAGACATTCCTCCGCTCTACACGACCTTTTTTTGCAAAGTTATAGAATTTACAAGAAGAGCCCTAAATTCATTTTTCGTTTTTCTTTCTATATCTCTGAGCTGACAATGAACATTTAGGACTTTTCTTGTCGGTTCTATAACTTTGCAAAAAAAAGGTCGTGTAGAGGTGAGGAATGTCTCATTTTAATCCGAATTTTGCGCACTACAAACGCGACTTATAAGAAAAGTTTCGAAGATTTTCCGAAGTTTCTGGAAAAGTGGTTTTCTAGAAAACTAGTCTCTGGAGGCCTAGCAGTACGTCTCATGTTGATATTCGGAATCAGCATGGTCGACTACCTATAGTTCACTAAGTTTCGGTCCGAAAGCAATTTATCAGTTGGGAACGTTCCCTCGTAAGAGATAAGAGACATGTTTCTTCTCATGAAGTAGATCTTTTATATAGTATAAATAATTTTGCTGAAGGAAAGTCTTTTCTTCTGACTGTTTTCCCCTCTTTAGAAAAATTATACCCTACGTGATTGCGTTATTTCCTTTTAGTTCTGTGGAAAGTACTGATGTTGTACTTGAAGAAGGTTTACCACCATCATCTATCTATTTTTCTGTAACTGGTTCAACATATCGTCGGAGCCAAAAATATAATTTACCATCATCACCTTCACGATTTCAAGAGTTGAGAGATTGCAGATTTCGTGCTTGTGTTTCTGTACAAGTATTAGAAAATTTCCTTGCCGTAAGTTTCATAGACCGAAATAATTATGAAAATTTTCTTATTTAATGCTTTCATGATAGATATTGAAAATGATTGATGTTAATGTTGTTCGATATTTGGATACGGTAGCAAAAGAAGTTCATTCAGTATGTAATAAACAACGATTTAGTTACTGATCTGTTTATTGCCTGTTTTGTTTTCATTTTAGTCTATGCCATCTGTTAAATATTTTCCTTATGAATTCTTCGGAGATGTCTTAATTTTATGTATAATAAAATTCTTTCGAGATAATCTTGAATTATTAGATAACACCAACGGTAAGTTCAACAAAATATGATGTATAATATGAAACGATATAAATTTTGATACTAGGGAGACCTTGTGCATGTTTAATTTTTCATCGAAGGTAGATCCTTCATGATAGAGAATGCAAGGTTTCTCTGTCTAACTGCTTTATTTTTATATATTGAAGAGCTTCTTAGTTATAATTAAGGCATTAGCACATTGCATTATCCTAATGGCTACAAAAATAACTGATACTAAACATTTGACGAGAGAGATTCCCTTTTGCATACTAACTTTTGTCTACTTTTCGTGTCAAAAATATGTCATCAGTATAAAAAAGTGAATTTTTTATATCTCAACGTAGTGTTGAACGTAAGAATTTATACGATTGTCAATTTCAGATAGTGAAATAATAGAAAATGCTATTTTTCTTTTGCTTTGATGATATGGTTTTTCTGTATGATAGATAAAAGAGTTTTATCAGTTGCTAAGTACGATGTTTTTGTATAGCTGAAAGTATCAACGAATCGAATTTGTATGTTACGATATGTTATCAAGTTTTAAACAGTCAAACATCATAAATACATATCAGGTGGGTTCCATGCGTTTAAAACTGAAACAGGTACCTGATCTTCAATTTTTACTAAAAGCTGAAATAATCTTTTTTGTTTGTTTATATGCTTTGCTTCTGCTCTGCTAATGTTTCTAACACAAAATAATCTAGACAATATTAACAATTAATTGTTTAATAATCATGTGTTCATTAATTTTTCTGTTTTAGAACGTTTGACATCTGTTTCAAAGACTACATATTTGTTTGTTCAACAATTGATTATTTTTAAATTGTTAGATCTAGAAAATGATGAGTATGAAAAATTACCAAATCGTTATCATACGAGAGTCGATGCGGATGCTGCTGCACTCGAATTGCTTTGTTTATCATGCGATGATGAAGCAGGTAGAATCATTGTATATTCTATATAGTCGATCGTTTATAACCACAATACTAATTCTCCATTCTCTTTCTAAAATATTCACACATCTTCATCAGTATAAAAAGAGTGGGATACAAATTTCATTTTGCGTATTTATCCGTGTTTGTCTCATTTTTTTAATGATTATGAGTTTTTATAGTTAAATAAGTAAACATTTTTTGACTTTTTCTTAAGTCACATGAATTTGATATGATCAATATGCTTCGTCTAATTGTGTCAATGATTGCATCAAGAGTAGACTTCTTTAAGCTTTTAAATTTTTCTACTTTTTTTATTATCGAATTATTAGAATTTTATTTATTTTAGAAGCTGAAAAATTATGCAGTAAATGTTCGGAGAAATTTAGTCAAGAAGGTTTAACAATCAAATTGTTAACAGCACAAATGCCATTGTTGGTTACATCGTTAGAGGTATGTTTAACCCTGATACACTTACCTAAGCTTCGCTCTGATTCCAACCAGTTTTATTTGAATGCTGTTTGCACACAATAGGCGCTCGAAATCCCTTATGTTTCAGTGAGTACGTTAGTAAAGTCAAACAATCACATCCAGTGGTTGTTGATCTGAGCGACCAGCCAAAGTACCTATAACCGGTTTTGTATCGCCTAAAATCCCTGCAGACTCCACGTAGGAATATGAGGGTTAAAAAGCCTCTTAAATCGGTGTAATAGATGTCGATGTTTTTTTTGTTTTAGGTTCTAAGTCGTTTAGCTGAAAAATACAAATCATTGGCTACTTATAGTATACATGTACTATGTGATTTTCTAACTGAACCATCACCACTATTATATAAATTATATCGTCGTACAAGTGATAAAATTGATGCAAAAGAAAGAGGATTTTTGCTGAGTGAATTAACTAAAACATCAAAAGAATATCGGGCATATCAAATATTCGAAAAATTACGAGATGCAGCTATTGAAGGTTTATGCAAGTATGTAGATTGTAACAGTCAAGAAAAAGGATGTCATTTATTTTTCGATATTTAGATCATTATGTATTCGATTAGAATCAGATCCTAAATGTGTTGAAGCTTTACTCGTGGCATTATCAGCTAGACTCGCATCTGGACATGTCAATGATAAGTAAGATAGTATTCTATTTTGCTTTTAATACAGGGCATCATTTTATCATACCTGTAGAATACATAGTTTTAATCGAAATCAACGGAACATTTGAATTAGTCACGTCTAATAGAGAATGAGGTTCAATAGTTTACTATGAAAAAAAGATCACGTTTACCTATACCGTAATTTCAGTTCAAATTGGATGTTTAATATTATATTACTTGATGCTGCAGCGTTAAAACGTCGCGCATCAATTCGTCACGGATTAGACAAAGATAAATATGAAACGTTATTGTAAGTTTTTTTAACAACTGAACGTGTTTACGTCTATTATAACACGAAAAAATAGCATCGTTTACAAACTGCTCGCTCGTTTTACAACCTAAATTATTAAGCTAACGTAGACTTCTGTATTGTTGTGTCGTGTGTGTGTGTATTTACCAATGTCTGCACCCAATATCATGTTTGAAGTGAAATTTCGTCTTTATCTCTTATATCTAGTGTGGAAGTGGAAGGGTATTACAATATTTGAAAAAGATATTTTCAACTTTGAAAATCTTTGAACATTTTTGGTTTTCGGCATAGAAAGATATAAACTGGATTTCATACTACTTCTTTAATACTTATTCCCTCTTCTAAATTGGATCTTCAGTACGGCTTGCCTCATGTCAAACAAGATCTTACAATTTATCTTTGATAATCAGTTGTGGCAGTATAAAGATTTTAGAAAAAGAAGAAAGTGTATAGATGCCTCTTAATGAATGTCCGGAACAGTGTACCTTTCAAAATGACATCTAATATCTTCTATTGTTAGAAATAAACTTGCTTTCATCGTCTTAGTTAATGATTTTATCAGCAAATTGATCTCGAAAATGAAGCTTTTGCTTGATTTACACAATGTTTGTCTGTTGTTCTTTAGCACAAAACCTCTTTGCTATAGGCTGTCTATTATTGACAGAAATATCTGTTGACAAACTGAATGCAATTTGTCTCTTCTGATAAGTCACTGCCATTGTTATATGTGTGCATCCCAAAAAAGAAAATTATATAGACTACAACACAATTCTTTCATATTTATTTTATTTGCACATTACATCACATTTGTTGACAATAGTTGGATCTGTGAGTCAAGTTCACATTCTTTTATAAGACCAATTTTTTAAATTTTGACAAATATTCCAATCTCATAACTGTTCAATTGGTTACAGCTGTGTTACAAAAGTGAAACGCCGGTTTTACAACGTTTTATTCTCTTGAATCTTGCGAAAGAAAGGATGTACAGAGCTTTTCAATGTCTTGATTTATAGATAAAATCTTGCTTAACAAACTCAAATATTCTTGTACTCTCAGACAGTATTCTATGAATCTGTGTGAAATATAATTGTAAAATGTATGTGTCATTAATTTTTTTTCTTTTTTTCTATCGTTTTTATTTAAAGACAAACATCATTAGTATCTCATAATACAATTTTAACACTTGGTCATATGTCAATAGCATTGAAAGATGTTCAACATACTCAACAATCAATACTGGCACGTTTCCAGCAACGATTAGGAGATCCACCTTCACCACTTGATATACTGATCATTAATCAAATTGGATGTATGCTGATATCAAATCTGGTAAGTTATTATCTCATCAAATACTTGTCAATTTGATTGAAACGTATTTTTTTATTCTTATCATCTTTTTCTCAATCAAACTAAGACTTGTATTTTGTACAATGTCGACAAAACATCATAATATTTCTCAAAAAGCAAGAACCTTCTTCAGATAAATTCACTAAATATCGAGTCGTTCAAAATATATGGTCCTCCTCGTATTTTGCTTATAATTTCTTTTCTTTTCAATCCTTAGACTTGATTGTTTTGTCAAAAGATACACCGTCAAATTCTCTACAAAACTTGAAAGTGAAAATTCAAAATATTTCCATTTTTGTTTCATTGTCTTTAGAATTCCTTAAAATATTCCAAAATTTGTAAAACAAAATAGCTTAGAAAGTCGGTCCTTTTTCATCATCTTGATTGTTCTTCGTTTCATTTTTCTCCTTAACGTTTGATAGAGACAAGTTTGATCAAGTTTTGTATAGAATTTGACGGCGTATCTTTTGGCAAAATAATCAAGTCTAAGGATTGAAAAAAAAAGAAATTATAAGCAAAATCCGAGGAGGGCCATTTATTCTGAGTCATCAATTGGCGTCATCCCATCAACATCGGCTGTTTGATTTATTCACAGTTATTATCATATCATTATGAAAGTGTACCGAAATTTCATTTATTAAGGATCCATTCATAGAATGATCCATTTTTTATTCTATTATTTTTTATTGTTAATAATAATTCATGTTTGATACCATTTATTAAGTTCATCTACTCAATTATCAACATAATTATAACAATTATCCGAAAGAAAAACAACAACTGCAGCATTTTTTCACTCAACATTTAAAATCAGATAGTGACAAAAATATATTGTTATCTAACTGATAATATTTTAAATGCGATACTTCACAGTTGAGCTTATATTATAAACTTTTTTAAGTTTCTCATTTTACTTTTGATAAATAATCTGTCTACTTATGGATACAATTTATTTATCTTATTTAGCCTCAAGCTACTTACGAAGAAATTATTGGACTTTTTACTGAAATTATTATTGAATCAACTTATCAGTCGTACTCGACAACACAAGATCATACAGCACAAATTGTTTTAGTACCAACAAAACCTCATCATCCAACTAAATATAAGTACGTATCTTTTACAAGGAAAAAAGACTCATCTGATAATTTGGGATTGTGTTTATTTTATAGACATGCATCGAATGCTGTCATAAATGCTTTAGCGAATGTCGCTGCAAATATTCAAGGCTTATTAGAATTAACAAATTTATTAACAAGTATACTCGAATTATTTATTCAACTAGGATTAAAGGCAAAAGAAGCTAGTGAAAAATCGACAAAAAACGCGTTAAAGGTAAAAAAAAAAATCTAGTTTAATACTCCTTTGTTTTTATTTATCTATTTCTTTTTCTTTTAAGGCTTCTAATACGGCTGGTAGCCTTGGCGTACTTATTCCAGTAATCGCTATTGTTATGCGTCGTATGCCAGTGATAACAGATCCTAGCGAACGTTTATTTCGTTTATTTCAACATTTTTGGTTTTATTGTGTATTGTTTGCTTTCGCTGATTTAGACAGAGGTTTGTTTGTTTGTTTTAGTTCTCTCTTCTTTAAAAATGTAAATTTTTTTATATTTTAGGTTTATGGTAAGCGACGACCCCCTTCAACCACTAACTATCTTTGTCTTGCTCTTTTTCTAACATATTAGGCCATCTGAATGGCATGATTGTGTATGTTTAATAGCAACAAAATCACCGGTACTAGTCGGGCCAAATGCGCCAAATATCTCGTTAAAAAGTACAATGCCATTAAAAAGTGATCAAATTGCGAAGGTAAATAATAAATCTATGTGACTTTCTGATGATCTTCTTTGTCATTTAATATAGTGTACATTCTTGTTTTAGGAAGATAATTATGAATTAAAGTCAAAATTAAATAATATATTCTCATCATATTCAGCAGCCAAATCCTATACTGATCGTTTTGGTTTTGAACAAAGTTCATATATTTTATCTGTTTATTTCTTAGAAACACTTAGGTAAGATAAACGTCAAGATACATTATCTTGTATCTACTTCAATATTATATTTGTTTTAGAGTTCGTCATTCAACTGATCCAACGGCATTCCAATGTATATTTGCATATTTAGAAGATCCCTATTTGTTAAAAGATAAATACGGTAGACTAGTTTTGCACTATCTTTTTTATATTGTTTATCTATACGTTATATACATATTTAAGGTCTCTGGACATTGATAACAGCTGTTGGAAGAAAAACATTTGAAATTTATGTGGATGAAATGAAGAAAATGGTGCGAATATTCTTGTAATAATTATTTTTATCTAAACATTTTCTCTCTCATTTTTAGCCAAAAAGTCCGGAACGTAATAAAAATCTCGAAATACAATGTCAGTTCTTAATGGTTAAACGTACACATGTACGACAAGTTGTCCGAGATGAAGCTAAAATATATTTACATACTTTATTGTCAAAAAATTCGTAAGTGACATGCATCTTCATAATTTAATAATTCTTCTTTGAACACATCTCTATTTTAGATTTCCACATTTGTTCTGTAGTCCAGTTGTTGTTGAAACATTGATGAATGTTATCAACATTTTGTCTTATTCATTGAACGAGGATGATTTACATAAAGTAACAGCTCATCATATCGTACCGGATACAGTCTACAACATACAATTTGTTGATACTGGTGAAAAACGACAGGTTCATGTGCATTATTCTTCGAAAAATTCTCAATTATTTATTTTATCTTATTATTTAGGAATTATTTAATGATTTCTCTGGATTTGGACGTATGTTTACTGAGCAAGCGCTGGCTCTATCTCCAACGTTATTAAAATCTTGTGTACAAGTATGAATGATGATCGTTCTCGGATGTTAGTTTTCTATGTGAGTTATTATTTACTTAGCAATATATGTTGAAATTAAGTGGTACAAGAAAAAATTCATCAGCATCTCGACAACATAAAGGTTTACATGTTATGTGGGAATATTTGAGTACATATTCAAAAACTGTTGACGGAGTGAGTACAGAATATTCAAAATAATCACTGTTAGCTACGAAACAGTGTCTATTTCTATTTTAGGCATCAACAACTAGTCAAAAAGTAACATATCGAGCAGATTTTGCCGATTATATGGTATCTGTTGGTGAAAGAAGTGCTGCCGTTGGCTTTGTAAGCTTTTATAAAATAGTAAAAATATGTGACCAAAAAATAGAGATCATTTGAATTGTTGTAGGTCGACGGTCTTAATCGAATGGAATATCGTGCTGCATTGAAACAAGTAAAAGATCAAATAGAAAATGCCTTACATAAACGGATAGCATCTTTAAACAAATATAAATCATTACAACAACGAAAACGGCGAATGTCTATTGTTGCACCGATCAGTGATAAAAGCATAGCACTAGATTTTGAAGAAAGAATAGCAATATGTAAAATAGAGGATATATTTAAAATAAATATTAATTTTTTTGAATATTCTTATCATTTTTTTTTAGTTGATAGTGATTTTCGAAATGGTCTGTTTAAATTAACAGCAATGCTAATTAATAATAATGATGATAACGGTAGTATTTACTTGTCAACATTTACTTCTCTATATTGATTTCAATATATGACATTTTTATTTAGATGATAATCCTGAATATGAACTTCGATTTAGTCCAACAAGTGGTTACATGAATTCAAGTATTTTCAAAAAAGGTAATAATAAATAATTAATTGATGTTTGAATAGTGAATATATTATATATGAAAAGTATGTTTTATTATTTTTAGAAAATGTACTTGATCGCGATATGGTTCATATTCTAACATGGTTACCAATTAAAATGTTTACAACACCTGTTATGGAAGCGGCTGTTGACTGTTGGTGTTGGGCTATTGTTGGACGACCCGAATTAGAATTATTGATTGTTGAAGAAATTTATAAAGTATGGGAAAAAGTGATTAGTGATCGTTACGGTTTATATTCTATTGATAAAAATGAACCTTCACCATTGGCACCATCGGAAAAAGATGAATTAAAGCCAAATTCACCCATGGTTAATCCACATCGAATATTTCTCAAGGTATATGGGATTTTTTTTTTCATAATTGTAGCAATAGATAATAAAGTGTTTTATATTTCATTCCTAGTTTATTGAAGAACGTATTTATCTATGTATGCATAAAACCGACTTAGAAATGGAAATGTTAGTTGATCTACTACATAAATCATTATCATTAATATTAGAAAATAGAAAATCTCAAATGACAAAACATGTTGGAGCAGGTGGATTAAGATTTCGGTATGTACATGAATATTCAAAAATCCATTTGTCTATTTTTCACTAATATATAATTTCTTTTTCTCCAGATTTCTCTATTTGGCATTGTGTCTAGTTCAAAGTGATTATTTACCAAATGCTATTAGTAAATATTTGTTACGAGAAAAAATCTATCACACAGCATTTGATTATTTTACGTATGCTATTAACTCTTAAACATCACGATTCAAAATATAGAGTTAGTTTTGTTTTTAGTGTACGACATCATTGTCCAACACAAAATCACAATGAATTACGCGATGATATTCGAACATTAATTAAATTCTTTTCACTTGTACATGGTGAAAAGAAATTTTGTAATGAAACACCACTAACACGTATGAATATCGTTTCAAAATCTAAGTCAAAAGTATATGTTTTTATAATTTATTTTTTGTTTAGTTGAACTTGGTAATTCAATGCCAAGTGGTTTAAATAATAATAATGGTAGTGGAGTAATAGACAGTGCAAGGACAGTTCCAGCTGGATGGATAAACACATTAGCCGGACCAACGGTATCACTTAGTGGTGGTGGACATTCAACACTCAGTCGAAAATCTGGTCAGTTTAGTCTAAATTAAATACAATAAGAGCTCAATTGTCACATGTTTTTGGTTTTTTTTAGCCGCATCTGGTAAACAAACAGAACGTAGTAATGATGTTCGAGCTCTATCGAAAGATTTACTTAAAAAGAGAAATCTTCTTTTAACATTACTGGTATATATGTCTACTTGTTACATTTATCTTTCTGTCTAATGATTAAAATTCCTTTTAGGCATATGAAATAGAACGTCTAGAAACATTTCATAATCCACTAGGACGAACAGAACTACAGTTTGAACCAGAGATATTATCAACGTACACAAATTGGAAATTATATGATATGAATGGTTTTACCACTAAAGCGTGGCAAGATTATGCACGTTTGGCATGGTTAATATCTCCTGATCTAGCAATTACTATGTATTATAGGTAATTAGTTAACAATAAATTCAGATTACTATATAGTTATTAAACAATATGTTTCATTTAGTTTACCAAAAGAATCATTACGACAAGAAATAATGCGTTTAGTCAAAACTTATCCAGTACAAGTTCGTCACATTCCAGAAGCTTTACATATATTTACATTGACATCTGATAATGATAAATTGTGTGAGGTAAGATTTATCAACCAATTATTTTTTTCTCTCTTTTTTTTTTATTCAAATAAAATATATAATTTTTTATAGACTGCTCATATTTTAACATGGGCTCAAATAAGTCCTGTGGCTGCATTGTCTTACTTTGCTAGTGTAAGATTAAATCAAGTAGCTAATTCATACACAATACAATATGCATCACGAATGCTTTATGTTACAAAATCGGTAAAATTCTTACAATCAAAATAACATATGTTCTTATATATTTTGTATTATCTAGGAAGCACTTATTCTATATATTCCACAACTTGTTCAAGCTGTTCGCTATGATGAAGTAATGTATAACCACTATCCATTCTTCAAATTATTCACTTATATATGTCAATTCTTTAGATGGGTTTTGTTCGTCGTCTTATATTAGCTTTATCTAAAAAGTCAAATTTATTGGCTCATCAATTAATATGGAATATTCGTACAAATACATTTAAAAATGAAGATACACCAGATGGTAAAGAATTATTCTTAATATTTTAATTCTATATTTTAACAATTAATCTTATTTTTTCAGAAATGATGAAAGCAAAATTAGAACCAATAGCAAAACAAATTGAACTCGATTTTACATCAGATGCAAGACGATTTTACGAACGTGTATTTGATTTTTCAAATAAATTAACAAAAGTGTCAGATATTATCAAGTATATTTAAAATTTTGTCTAATTTGATTATTTTAAACATGATCTATTTTTGTTTTTCAGAGATTTTCCTAAAGGCAATTCACGAAAAGATGGTATTAATTTATTTTTATAAAATTATGTAGAAAAATATTCAAATATTTATCTATTTTTAGTTTGTATTCGAGAGTTGAAAAAGATAGGTACAGAAGCTCCAGAAGGCGTTTATCTTCCATCAAATCCCGAAGCAATAATCATATCATTATTACCAGAGAGTGGTGCACCTATGCAAAGGTATATAAACTAAATTTGATTTATTTTACTATATAATATTTTTTAAATAAATATAATTATTAATTAGTGCTGCTAAAGCTCCATATCGAGCGACATTTCGTGTTCAAACTGTTGGTATTGAACAAGTTGAACATTGTGCTGATGAAGATTATGAATTAATGCAAGATTTTGCTAATCAATATTCACAAATGGCTATATTTAAAGTTGGAGATGATGTTCGACAAGTAAAAGAATGAATTTGAAATTATTTATTTATTAATTTTTATAATATTTTATTTATTTTAGGATATATTAGCATTGCAACTAATGCGTTTATTTCAAAATATATTTGAACAAGAAGGTCTTGAATTATTTTTGTATACTTACAGGGTTATTGCAACAAGTCCAGGAGTATGTAGTTTTATTTTAATAAAAATAATAGTTGAATTAATTAATTTTATATTTGTTTGTAGATGGGCGTTATTGAATGTGTACCAAATGCTCGTTCACGTGAAGATATAGGACGAAATACAGAAGTTGGTTTATACGAATATTATCGACATGTTTACGGCAAGGCAGATTCAACAAAATTTCAGAAAGTAAGTAAAAACTTTGTATATCACTATTAAGAATTATTTATTATTTATTCTGTTCTTTTTTTTTAAAGGCTCGACGAAATTTTGTTATGTCTATGGCTGGTTATTCTATAGCTTTATTCATGTTACAAATAAAAGATCGACACAATGGAAATATAATGGTCGATGATGATGGACATATTATTCATATTGGTAAAATATATTTTATCTTCAATTTTCTTATTGACATTCTTTATGATGTTTTTTTTTATAGATTTTGGTTTTATGTTTGAATCTTCACCCGGTGGAAATATGAGATTTGAACCAGATATCAAATTGACAGCTGAAATGATTTTAATCATGGGCGATTTGACGGCACCTGCATTTCAATGGTTCAAAGAGTTATGTATCAAAGGATATTTAGCATTAAGGTAATAACTTTTCATCCTTTTATGTAAAAACTTATCGCATTTACATTCAATTTTTCTATAAGTTTCTACAAAAAAGAAAAAGAATATTTTCTAGCTTTGAGATGCGCTCGTGTTGTATACCATTATATATTCGTTAGAGTTTTCCTCGGAGACTTAAACATTTAATAATAGAATGGCGTACATCCTGTATGCCATTCATCTGAAAACATTAGTAATACAATGCGTTTACTTTAACTCCTCAATGTTCTGTTTGTAATTGATTATCAAAAGAAATGAAAATAATTGATGATTCATTGTCATCTATGTTGATTTTATTTCATTATAGACCGTATCGTCATCATTTCCAAACATTAGTAGCTCTTATGCTAGATACTGGTTTACCTTGTTTTCGTGGTCATACATTAGAACAATTGAATGCCAGATTTAAACCGGATGCAAGTGAAGCAGATGCTGGTCGTTATATGCATGATGTTATTAATCGTTGTGCTCATAGTTTAAGAACAAGACTCTATGATATTATACAATGGTATCAAAATCAAATACCTTATTGATCTCTTTTCCTCCTCCTGTATTTTAGTATAAATGTCATATTTTGACCTTTTCTTCTTCAGTTGTATATTTAAGATTGTGTACGTACTAGTCTTTTTCGTAAATAATTTTTTATTTTTAATGCATAATAACACATCTTGAAAATCTCGCTTGTTACGTTGTTTCTTTTTGTCAAAAAAACAATAAGACTTTTTCCTCTTTCTCTTTTAAATTGTGGTAAATGTATATGTAGCATATAAGCATAATTTAAATTCTCGGTTTATATAAACAGAGAAAAGAAAATATAATAAACAGTGATCTACTATTGCAAAAATAGAATGACTAAATGAAACATCAAGTATTATTCTGATACTATTGAATAAACTGAGCATAAAAATAAAATAATATATGATCTAACATTGTTCCATTCAACACTTATTATCAATTTTTCAACTGCTTTACCAAAATTGTTAGAATTAATAGATCTCTTATAGTTTCTTTTTGTAAAATTTATTTCAATATCGATCATCAAATAACAAAGTTCTATTTACCTTATTTATTGAAATATTTTCTCTTGTGTAAAAAACAACAGAACAACACACATGCACATATAATGAGAAAGAGCAAATAGCAACAACAGTTAAGCAAAATAATAAAAACATCGATCAATTAAAATGCGCACAAGAAAAAAAAATCATAATTAGAGTTAAATATAGTTTTTAATTTATATTTTCAAGATATTATATAACGCATTGCTGTTCATTCATGTTTTAAGTTGAGCGGAAGATCGATATATTTCACAAAAGTCATGTGTGTGTATGTAAGACCAAAACAGTCAATTGTGCATTGTTCACCGATCATTATTTTTGAAAAATTTTACCACATTGAAATCAAAATATGCCCAAATTGAATCCACAGTTATTTATAAATGTACACACATATAGCAAAACAATAAACACAAGAAAATAGTTGAATAAATAAATAAATAAAAATAGTTTTAATTATACAGAGAAATAAAAACAAAGCTCCAAGCGTCACAGTCATGACTATATTTATATATTATAACACAATGAAAGGAACCTGCTAGTATTTTTCTATTCTCATTAAAGTTCTACATTTAAAACGACTAAACTTGGAATATTATAATTAGAAGAAAAAAAAAATTATTTCTTTGTTGATTTGACTGTTTTAGACACCCATTCTAAGCCATCCTAGAAAAAAAATGAGAAAATATGTAAAGCATGTTGACTAAGATATATGAGTGAAATTTTTTCTTTTCTTTAAAATTAAATTGATAAATTCTAACAATCCTACATTGATCTATGTCAAACATGATGTCAAAACAGAAACACTAAATGAGAGAGGTGCTGTTACTAAAATATGTTATATCTAATGCATACCGTTACACCTTCTTTTGTATATGCAGAACATCCTTGAATTTGCCATGATCTATCTCGTATTGTATGTAATGCTAATCCATCTGTAATCTCAGAGGATGTTGCAGCATTTAATAAATCTTGTTTATTAGCAAATACAAGTAATGGTACATTCACCAATTTTTCTTCTTCTAATAGTTCAGATAATTCCTTAATGAATCAATATAAAATTTTGTTCCAATATCTCGTCGTATGATAGGATATGAACGCAAATGAAAGAATGTGCACGTTTTCATTATTTTTAAGGAAGAAAATATACCGCATGAAATTTTTGGATTTAAATAGAGATTAAATCCTATTGTCATTTTTACGCGATCTATCAGAATTGCTGAGATATTTACTAGTCTATATTATAAAAGAGGGTGCTTCCGCGCAGGTCCGCCCACTTTATACAGAGCATCTTGCCGTGAAAATTTCAATTTTCTCATCGTGTAGAGCATCAAAGATAACCTAAAGGTTTCGCTTACGCTTTTTTGAAAAAACGTGTGGAAAGTGGTTCTCTACACACCTCAAGTTTTCCGTGAGGGTGAAGATAAACGAGTCGGTGAAAATGAACGAAACATTACATAATTATACACCAAATTGTAGCTCTTGACGAGTTGATTCTAATGGTGAAGGAATTCGGTCTCGATCTAACTTTACATTCGAATGGTACTCAATTTACTTGAAAAATTCCTGAAGTTTGACCTCGATTTTCTCCTAAACGCTTCGAAAATTTTTTTCTTCGAGAATTTCTGGAAAACTAAGGGTATCGAGGACAGTTGTGTGGGCAAAGTCATAGATCTTACTAAGTAGTTCCCATCCTGAAAAAATCTCGAAAAATTTTCGGAGCGTTTAGGAGAAAATCGAGGTCAACTTCAGGAATTTTTCAAGTAAATTGAGTACCACTCGAATGTAAAGTTAGATCGAGACCGAATTCCTTCACCATTAGAATCTTGCATGATTTGGTCTAATCCAACCGATGACCGATCGACGTACACTGCGAAAAGGAAATTCTCTTATGTTTTCAGTATCCGAATGTAAAAAGGATGTTCTCAAGGAAACGTTTTTAGTTAGAACACTAAAGGAGTGGATCAGTCTTCGTAATTCTGTAGTTTTATCACCCACAGTAACAGTTTTCTCATTAACTTAGAACAGCACTTATAGTGTCGACTGCCGATCTTTGTATTTGCTGTCTTATTTTTCATCCTTTATTTTTATACATATTGTATACGTTAATTCATATAGGTTAGACACCTTTATAAGAGATGTATTAATTTACGTCTCTTTTGACGCAATGATTGTTAAGTTTATTTTCTCTTTTCTATCTGCATGTGAACTCAACTTTACTAAATAAATAAATAATAAATAATAATCGACTCGTTCATCTTCACCCTCACGGAAAACTTGAGATGTGTAGAGAACCACTTTCCACACGTTTTTTCAAAAAAGCGTAAGCGGGACCTTTAGGTTATTTTTGATGCTCTACACGATGAGAAAATTGAAATTTTTGCGGCAAGACGCTCTGTATAAAGTGGGCGGACCTGCACGGAAGGACCTACGGCGTTACTTTTACGAATATCCCTTATTTAAATATAAAATCCCATTCAATGAATTCTTTTTCTTCAGAAACGAGACCCATGAATGAAGCGCATTATTTTTTAATTTCATTTCCATCCAAGCCAATGAGACCTACCAGACTGGTTTCTTCAAAACGTTTTCTGTCGGCACTATCAATTACATAGATCTAGAAAAAAATATTCATTTTAAACAGGAAATCGTTGACAATCTTAACTTACCAACACGTCAGTATTTTCAAAATAATTTCGCCAAAAAGGGCGAATTCTTCGCTGACCACCTATAAGAAGAGTTTAAAAATACGGAACAAAACTCTGTTAAAAGAAGAACTTACCAATATCCCACACGTTTAATTTAAACCCATTTGATGCTACACTTTTGATATTGAATCCCTATGGTGAAGAAAAAATGATTAAAGCCACCTAGAAACACAAAATACGTCTCACTAACTTGAGTTGGTGTTATATGAGATATGTCTTCGGATGCCAGCACCTTAAGTAGTGTCGTCTATAAAAAAAATAACAACCAATGAAAAATATGTAGCTTTTTTTTTAAAATAAAACTTCTTACTTTTCCAGCATTGTCTAAACCAAGTAATAAAATTCTCAATTCATCTTGAGGATTCGAACGTAGTTTTCTTAATAAACTAAGCAGACCCTAAGAATCGAAAGATAAATACATTAAAAAATTTCAAGAGAATCGAAAAATTATGTATATATGTTTTCTCATTATCGTTCATGTTTTAACTTTGATTCTTGAAAAACTTTTAAAGGTTTTAGGTATTAACTTGATCATAATAAAATTAGCAAAACGTAAAAAAAGATACATACCATTTTCTTTTAATTAACGCTTATAATTCTCAATGACGTTTGCTCTTGGATCTACAAAAATTTTAAAGGAAGTTTAAACGATAATTATAAATATTAATGCGTAAAGTCGATAGAGAAATTTAAAAGTCAAATACTTTTCTCTCGTTTCGGTAGTTCTCTTCTTATTCCTCGAAAGCTAGTGAAAAGATACGACGAATCAACTGAAGCGCATTTTTTTTTCACAAAAATGTCGATGACTTTTTATAAAACGAAAAAGTGCAATGTCTTAACAACTCTTTCAATGAAACATTTTAGGGTAAAAACCATAAAAAGATTACATCTGATTTGTGATAATAGTAAGTTATCAATCTTTTCCAGTACCAGGGGATGTACCAAATATTTCGTTATTTATTTTTATCAATTTATAAATGAGAAATCATCATTTAGTAGGTTACTAAGGGGCCTCCACGTTACTATGAAGAAAACGTCTGGAAGTATAAATATAAGCACTTTTCTTTCAAGCCAAGTGTCTTTAATTTGATATTGATAAATAACAAGGCGTAAAAATAACCAGTTAAACTGTCAAGTGCATTAGTGCTTTTAAAAAGCTACTTTTTTTTTATTGTAATTAAAATCGCGCTGATCTATAGTAATTACCAGATATGATATAAAAGATATGGGTGCGAAAAGCCTGAGAGTTAAGAAATGGATCGTAGTTGACTATATAGACATTGAAAAAGCTCATTTTAAATCGGACCTACTTCCGAATTTGGAAAACAGTGAAGTTAATGATCTGATGATCTGAAAACTGCATGATGTGTTGTATGGTATTTCGCATGTTCTAATTACTATTAATAATAAGCATACAACGTATTATATTATACAATTTGCACAGATTCTTATGTATGGTTTTGCGAACGTTGATGGTATCGACGCCATTTCAGTTTCATCCATCGTGATTAACGTCCTCTACAGTCACTTGCCTTGACGTTAGAGGACGCTGTTAATAAGAATCTAAATAAAAAGATAGCGCCTAACTTTGAAATAACTGTTCACAAATTAGGCTGTTTGATCATCACACTTTCAAAAAAAGTTGATCTATCATGCTTAGAAAGGATGACAATACTTTTTTAATTGGTGAGAAGCTGTACCTTAGGTCACCTTTCTATTAACTTGCTCCAAAAAATCTCGTTTACTGCAAAAATCGTAGTTTCAAGGAGCCATGATTAATGAAAGTTGACGTAGATAGTCTCTCCTTGCAGGTAATATTTGGAGCTAAAAGAAAACAACGATAAAGGCATAGAATGTTATTCAAAACTTTTAGTGCCACAATTTTATCGTGGCGCTACGACACTTTTGGTGAGATATCAGTGCTGCTTTAGAAAACGACCATAGATACGGTGATGCAATGTTTTTTCCAGAAAGTGTGTGCGTATCATACCTGTTTTCGTTTCATAGAAGCCCTGGATATATATAGCATATGAGATTATACATGCCATGCGTAGACACTAGGATAAAAAACTCAACTAATGACGTAAATAATTAGCTAGAGATTGTTCTTGGTATTTAAGTGCACTGATTGTACCCTAGGTGCGTCGAACGTTGGTTGCCGTTTACGCTGCAGCACTAAAATTCTAAATCTAAGCTTCGGAAGATGGGCGGTTCAGAATCTAACAGGAAAATACATTGCTCCTAATATTTATGTAGAAACATTTGACTTTTTAATTCTTTTTAGAGAAAATACTGATTGCAAGATACCATGTCTTCTAGCAATTTATTGAATTCATTGTTGGGTTCTGCTGAATTTTTTCGTACCTGTACACCCACTCCAAATTATCGTTTATGTGTACATTGTTTACAAGCTGTTCTTACATTGACAATTACACCAGCAGTCGAAGCAAAAATCCACTTGCAAATTGGCCGGATACTATTACATCATAGTTCGAATGTGGATGTAGCTGCAAGACACTTAGAGAAAGCTGTATGTAAAACACACTTATCGGGTCTTAGTTATTTTAATTTGAGATTATTTCTAATTTAGTGTCAATTGGCTCAGCCAGTATCCTTTTATTACTATTCTATAGTTCGATAATCTTCACGAAAGTGATTGTGTGTCGGATCTATAAACGTTCTTCTTACTAGTCAATAATAAATATAGTTTGAATGAAAAAATTATTTAGACTTAACCGCAGTTATTCAATTAAAGATTACGGACGAAGTGAATTTGGAAAGTGCTTGTCTACTAGCCAAACTTTATAGTAATCGAGTTAGTATCTTGTATCAATTGTTCAATGGCAACTTTCTTTCTTATTTGCCTACTTTTATCTTAGAATCAACCAACAAATGCTCTAACGATGTTGCAACAAGCATTGGAACTATCAGCACAAAATCCCTACTGGCATTGTCGAGTTATATTTCAAATTATAGTAAAATATACATTCTGTCTCCGTAACATTCTTTAAATGTTTGTATACTTCTAGGCGCTTTACCATTCTCAGGAAGATTTTAACACATCATTGTTCTATGCCGATGCCGGGTTTCAGTTTTGTACACGAATTGGTGCAGTATTTTGTCAAATATTATTTCGCTTAACAAAAGTGATGGTTAGTTAAGAATTATTGCTACTTCTCATAGTTGAATATTATTTTATTTAGGAAAAGAAAGTACACAGTTTTTTATCAAAAAATCATCGTAAAGCAGAAAAATAAGACAGTTTTTTTAGAACGTGTTCCAATTAAAATTAAAACGTTCAGAGGTTTTACAAATAAGATTTTACACTCAGATTTGCGTAAGATTTATATCAATTATTTCTTGTTCTATCAAGTTTTTTCTCTGGTTATTTATGTGAAAATGTTCCAGAAAAATTTTCATTAAAGTTCTGACATATGTACGAGTTGAAAGTGATCTAAACAAAACATAAACGAATAATTTACATCCTCTTGTATCGCTCTTCTACAATAGATCTAGAGCTATACATAGAAACTTTGTGTGTTGAGAGAAAAAAGAGGAATAAGTTCACATTCATATAAGAACACTAGTTACGCTAGAATTTTCTACACAGCTCTATGTTGGATAAATGTTTTTTTTTTCTTCGTTGGAGTTCTGTGGCTGTACTTCAATAATTATGTCTGGCAAATAAAGAGATTGTATCAGTTTTATTTAATATTCTTGATTAACTGTTCGATGAGAAGTAGTTACTTTTCCTTTTTTTTATTCTAGTTACGTATATTAATTAAAGATTATGCTGAAGCACAAAATTTATTAACACCATGTTTGGATCATATTAATTCGATGAAAGGAAATTATTCTCATATTGAAACATTACGAATATTATATCTTGTACTTCACATATCATGTTCATGTTTTGGTTTGGGTCAAGTAAGTCGGTTTAATTTTAATTTAATTTCTTTTTCTCTTAACTAATACAACGGGTTGCTTTTTTTTATCGTCTAGGTTAAAACGTCAAAACATTCATTAACAGCGTTACAACAAAGTATTCAACAATTGGCTAGTAGACCAGAAGAAGGTAATTTTTTCGAACATTTCTCATTATCTATTGTTTGCATTTTCTATTTTTATTTCTATAGAAGCATCTTTAGTGACAAATCCACTTGAACAATTTACATGGTTATCGCGCGATCATTTGAATGTTTTAGTTTATTTAGTATGCTTTGTTCATTTATTTTCTTCAATCATATTCTAATGGTCCTTTTTGCGGGTATTTTTTAGCTAACTGTTTTACATTCAATGTTATGTGGACGTTTAGATAAAGCATTGAAATATGCTGATAAAGCTCAAGCTCAGATTGATCAAATTAAAAGTATATAAAATGGAATTTTTGAGTATAGAAAGACAAAAAAGTATCATCTTTTGTTTATTTAGGTTTGGATACCAGTCCATTTTTAATAGCTGTTGAAATGTTATTTTATGAATGTCGAATACAATGTCATTTATTAACATGTAATAAATCGATAGCTATAAAAGAGGTATATCGTTTAAGTAACGTTATCGTGTTCGAAGCATAAATAACTCATTTCTTTTTTTCTAGATTGCAACATTATGTCGACTGAATGCCGCTGATTCTAACAGCAAAACTCAACGAAGTTTAACGATTCATGCTTTATTGGTAAGATAAATATTTTTAATTATCTCTGATTCTCTCATTTTTTTTTCTTTATATTTCTATAGGGTTTATATGCAACATCGTTGAATATGCTCGAAGTATCTGAAGCGCAATTTGCTGCTGCTTTACGCACACGGGTAAGAATATATTTTGTTTATTTTTATACAGTTATAACGAAACGTCTGGTGTTTGTAAGAGAAATAAAACACATTAATTCTAGTTATCGTATACATAAAAAGTGTATATCGGCTCTTTTAATTGAAAATGGTATTATATCTCCGTAGTTTGACAGATATGATATATAAATCATAGAAAGTAAAATGTTAAAATGACTATTGAATATTGAAGGAAGCGTAGATATTCACTTCTTCTACGTAATTAGATTCATGTTCAAAAGACAGAACTAACCTGTCTTAGATACTTGTTTAAATTTATTGTTTCATCACTTGTCAATGCAGCATTTAAAACACTAATTAATAATAAATTTATACTGTATATTTTTTTTATTCTGATAATTAATTGACTATAATCTGATGATAAGAGGGAAAGACGTAGACAGATACCATTCATCGATAGAACAGGATAAGAATGTATCCTTCTTTAATTTAATCTTGATTATATTTGTTCTTGACATTCAAATGCTACATTTTCAATAGATTCTTACTCAATTTTTTTACTTTATCCAATTCGTACAGTTGGATACGATCATATTCAGAGAAGACCATTTTTTTTTTTACAATATACTTTTGGAGAATTTAGACATTGATTTTCAACAGTATTAATTTTTATTTTGGAATCAGTGATATCTTTGTGTGTAGTTTTTGTTTGAAAAATTGATCGTGTAAATTATAGTATGTGTCTAGTATATACTGTTCTTACCATAGAAATCGATCATAATGTTCTTTGTAATATTTTATCGAAAGATGTAAGCTGTAATTATAACGTTCCCACTTTTAAAACGAGACAAGATTGTCTTTAACTTTCGTACAATCAAGGAGAAAAAAACAAGAAAAAATATATATAAAAATGATTATTTGTCATTCTAAAATGATACGAAAAATAATTTCATCTTTTATAGATTAAAATTGTACTTTTGAAACAAAATAAATTAAAAAAGTAATTGAAAGTAACAAGGTGATAATTACAAGAAAAACGAAAAATAGGTTGATGTTAATGATTTTGATATCAACAGGGATACATTAACTATGCTAAACCTAAAAGAATATCCCTTTGAAACAGTATTATTTTGTGGCACTTTAGATTGAACAGATGGTAGTCACTTATGAAATATTCTTACATTGTACTAAAAAAAAAATGATATTTCGTATCTGCTGTTATCGTTGAAGAATAGATAGATCTAGAGTCTTTGAACACTTAATTATTTGTCCTTTACTTACAGATGTTTTCTTGATATATTTTTTTTTGTATCTCTGATTTGGTAATATTTCGTTTTTCTTCCATAAGTAGAATTTTTTTTTTCTTATTATGTTATGTTTTACCACACAATTTTGTTTTGTATATATAAGAAGCAGAGATTATAGTCTTTCCGATAACGAATACCAGACTTAATTTATACACATATAAGTGATTTCTTTTCCTCTTATTATTATTATTTTGACATAAGTGAGAAAATCATCGAATACAAAGAATTACAATTGTTTTGCGTTAAGATAGACAATATCTTTAGGATATTAATTAATTGATTTTTTACTCAGTCATCTCTATTTGCTACATTTTATGGAACTAAGTTTAAAATCTTATTGAGAGAAATTTGTTTGACAAATATTGAGAAGAAAAATACATATCTCGATCAGAAATCGAATCTGAATTCATTGATTTTCTAGATTCTCTATACTAGTATGTATAATTACATATATTTTTCTCAATGAATGATTTTAACTATTCAATTGTTATGAAAAATGACAATTGATCGCTTATGATGAGTCTAAATAGTGTATATATACTTATCGACATACAGAAAGATTTTGTTATCTTTTACAATCAAAAAATTTAGATTTTTAATAGATTGATCAATTTTTTTTCCAATGATTAGCACAATTCTATTTTTTTTGTATAAACAATGTGATGTAAATGTTTTGATCTATTTCTAGTTTCCTGGTGATAAAGATTTTCGATTTATTGTATTAGCTAACTTGATAATTACCTATATGAGATTACGTAAACAAACACATTTATTACCAATATTACAACAAATCAATTTAGAATTAACAACAACACAGTAAGAGAAAGAAAAATGTTTTTTATTTTTTTTAATATTTATCTCATTATTACTATTATAGTTCACAATTATTACATGCAATTGCAAACTTTTTGAATGCTCTACAACATTTAAGCAAAACTCGTATACCAGAAGCAAAGTAAATTAATCATTATTAATGATTTATAAACTTTATAAATATTTCGTTTTTATAGAGAATTATTTCGTCGTGCAGCTAATTTTGCTAGTAATGAAGATTTAAATAAAATATTAACGAATACATTCATTATACTTGGACAATTGTTTTTTAGAATGCAAAATTTTCAAGTAATTTATTTTAAATATTTATTTCATCTTTTTTATATTTAATAAATATAAATGTAATTTGATATTTTCAGGAAAGTGCAAATATGTTACAATCGGCTACAACAATTGGTTCTAGTATACCAGACTATAGTTCACAATTGAGTACAATGTCAATATTGAGAGGTTTGATAGTATAATGATGTTTTATCATATATATATATATATCGATGATTCTCATCGTAGATTTATATCATATGTGTAATGATCCTCGACTGGTTGAAACCAATGAAAAAATCATTCAAATAACGGATGCATTACAAAAAGATTCTTATTCAACTACAGCATTGCCAGAACATCATCATTTATTAGCAGTAAGTAAATAAAACTTATTTTCTATTTTTTTCAACGAATAAATGTTATTATGATTTCTATCTCTTTTTCTAGTGGACAGAGGGTATGTTTCAAAAAAATAATGAATTATTTATACGTAAGTAAGATAACATCTTTTTGTTTGTTGTTACAGGTCCATGTCCAATTGAAATATAATGAATAATAATTAATTCAACTTTATGTGTATTCGAGTTTGTTACTGAGTCAATATTAACCTTGTACATGCCAGATAACTCTGTAATTTTGATCTCTTGCATGTTATTATCAACATGTCATTTTTTTTTTCAATTTTTATACATTTCTGCTGACATTTTATTGTCTAACAATATACTTACTTACGCGTCGTTCTATTTCCTCACGCAAGTGTGTCTATATTTACCGTTTTTTTGTTTTGCTCTGTTGTTGTTGTTGTTTGTCTGTCTGTCTGTCTGTATAAAAAATTTATCAATAAATATTGTTAGATGATGAAAACTGACTTTCAATAATAAGTGAACTTGATTAAATATTATTTTTTTACTTCTGAATTATTAAATAACTCGTTATTCTTATACTTCGATTCAATCTGGATAAATATATTGAAAAGAATTTACTTTTGTCTATAGATTGAAATTTCTTTTCTTATTTTATTACTTATTAATATAGACTATTTCATTTGGTTAATATTGATTATTCTTATCTAGAAATGTATTCTATATGATAAATTTTATTCATCAGTGAAAGAAGAATAGTTACAAACAAATTTTTATAAGTAATTTTAATTGATTAAACACACTAAACAGATAAATTTAAATTTTTTCGATATCGTAGAAACGCTATTTCTGATTATTCATCAATCTTCGACTAATATTTCTAATCTGTCATGGCAGTTAAGATTTTTTGAAACATTTCAAAGCATTTTTTAAATTTCTACTTGTACTTTGATTTAACGTTCTATAAGAAAAAAGATAAAGTGCTCCGTGACAGATTGTGATATTCACAATACTGTTTTTCTGCGTATATTATATTCAAAATATTTGTCTTGTATAAAACGTCTTCTAATATTAAGTCAATCAGAATGAAATTAATTGAACAACGTTAAATTGAAAGAAAGTTTTATTTATCTTTCTACTGTTTAATATAATAAGTTTCTATTCTACTTTTTATCGACTTATTACAAAAAAATGTTTACAATTTTATCCTAAATAATATTGTCTGTTCAATTTTTATCATTAAAATTATTTAACTGTAACTAATCACAAATAAGGCTTTTATTCATAATTAAAGAGTTTAAAAATTGTGAGCTACAAAAAAAAAACAAAAAAATTGTAACTAAATTAGATACATTTCTCGTTCCTCTATTCATAGTGTCGATGATATTTTATTTTTGTTTCTTTTCTTCCTTCTTGTGTATATTCAAAAGAATTTCTATTATTGTTTTTTTAAATTATATATATATGTGTACAGTTCGAAAGATACAAAAAAAAAAAAAAAAAGAAAAAAGTGTACAAAATATGTGTTTGTTATTCTTTCATATACATTGTATATATCTAAGGTCAATGTGTAGCAGAGTAACATAAGGCATTCACTATACACTTTTTCAGTTCTTGTCTCTTCTCTTCCTTTTACATTGTGACACATTAGAACACTAAAGTAATCTAATTCCAATTGTATGAATATGAGTATCGATGAATATGATGCCAGATCGTTTTCAAATTACTCCTCCCAAAAGACGAAGAAAAAAAATATATATAATATCAAATAGTAGATGAGCAAATTTTAACTGTTCTTTTATTAACATATATCATAGTGATTACGAATATAGACAATTGAAGTAACGGGTATGTTGTTTTAAACAGATAGAGATAAAATTACTCTTTTTCTGTGGTCTTGTTCATACAGGGACACCTACATTTCTTTCTTTTTATCTGTCAAACATTTTAAAATTAGTTGTTTGTTTTTCTATTTGTGTATTGATTGTCGATTTTTGACAGAACACCTGTTTCTATCCATCTTCTTCATCATAACATGATAGACGAAGATATATGAAAAAAAAAAAAACATATAATATTTTAGTTTAGAATTTTTCATTTTTCAACAACTTATTTTTGTTCTTCTTTTTTTTCCTTCATTCTTTTACGTATTATAAATAAAAAACTAGTAGACATATTATCCGTATTTATTGGATAAAAAAGTTTTCCATCAGTAAACGTACACAAAACTATTGCATGATCAAATTTGAGATTTTTAAGGATAAATTATCAAAATTATTGTTATATTGTTTAGCAGCTCTTCGTTTTGTATTTTAAACAAACAAGAAGCTATCGTCTTATGTGATTATTGTTTCTTTTTACAATAATCACTCATTTTCGGAGAAAAATGATAGTTCACTCGTATAAAAACTCATTTAACTCCCACTTTCAGAATTATCATCAATCTTTTACTTTTACAATTGAATTAAATCTTATTTTCTATCATCTTATAGCAATAGACAGTTTTTATATTTTATTTTTCTTCTTGACGTTTTTCTCTTCTTTTTTATTCATTATGATGAATACAGAATTCTTTAATTTTTTTTCTTTTATCCTAGATAATGTTTTTGTTCTTCTCTTTGTTTTACATTCGTGATATAAATTATGTGTTCAGATATTTTAAATAGTCTATTTTAAATGACTTTTTTGCATTTTCGTTTGTATATGTGTGTGTGTGTATACGCATAATAATATTATGCAAAAAAAACGAAAAAAAAAAACTATATATATATCTTACAATGTGTACAGATGGTAGATATATATACAATTCAATGTCAAATACGAAAAAAAAAGAAAGACTCGTAACCTATACAAGAAATATTATCGATCATATAGATGGAGGTGGTAACATGAAGTTCATATATATATATATATATATATATAAATGAGAATGGATTTTTGATATTTTTTATCTATTGTAATATAATAAGAAAGAAATATTTTTGTTGTTTTTATTTCAGATTTATTTAATCATCTTTTTTTCAAATGGATAAATAATATCGAACTTCAATTTATACAATGATAAATCAATTAATTAATCAAAAATAACGTTATTTTATACTTCAAAGTATTTCCATATTTAGTTTAAATATTTGACATTGATCAAATGTCATGTATTATGTTAATATCATCGATTTTCAGATGAGTTGATATATAATATTCAAGTAATAAACAATGAATTGAGGTAAAAATTATGTTTATTGAAGATAGATTGTTATATACAATGGATATCGATTGACTATTTCTAGTTTCGATCTTATATGTAACGCTTTCAGGCATAGAAATGTGAATGCATCATTTGCCATCAACAAATCATCATACGCATATCGATTTTATTTACATCTTATTTGAGTTTAGTCTAATGATCTCGACTGATTTATCATTTCTTTTTTCTTGGAAAAAATAGCGTCTTAAAAATATCGTTAAAATAAAATAGTAGAGGAGAAATCTAGTTGAAGGTGACAGTTTAGATGTTCGTATCTGTAATTTTCTTATTCATCATATTTTACCCATGTTACTTTTTGAGAACTCTCTGATGTATAATGAAATCAATATTTTGTAGATAATATAAATCATATAGTAAACAACTGAAAGTGGAGAAGAGAGAGATGGAAATAGTGTATAAAGTCTATTGTTATCGACACATTTGTATCTATCTTTTTAGTATAATACCCATAAAAATCCTGTGATTTATACACGAATAACTGATTTTCTTTTTAATCAACATGATAAATGTCTCATTTGGAGAGTTGTAAAGCAGCATGATGGCATAGCTCCGTAGTAAAGTAGCTTTAGGTGTAGAGAAGAAAAGATAAATAATGGACTATTTCCATCTTAGACCATTTTCCAGTTTGAGAATAAAAGCAACATTAGAAAAGTCCTAATGAATTTTCGGTACTTTTCAGTTGATTTTTTGTATAATCTGATAATTGTTTATTCGTTCTTTCGTCTAAAGGCAAATTTAAAGAATCAAAATTACTCATTGTAGTACGCAGAACATTTGTGTCAAAATGGCACGTAATCTCCATCACTTTTAGGACGATTAGATGTAGTCATATGAAATCATTCTTTAGAAGAAGTGAATCACTATGAATGATAGAAAACTATTCACTATCATGTTCTGATGTTAATCGTACAAAAAAATAACAACTCTTCTTGAAACTTCTATGCTGGAATACACATGATATAATTACAAATGTGTTTTGATGAGTCATTGTTCGTTTTTTTTAATTGGTATTTTTTTTTTCTTTCATTACCCTGTAGCACTCGCGTAACTAGTTTATGCGTGCGTGTCGTCTGTTTATTTATGTTAAAATAAGAAAAAAAAAGGATATTTTTTGTTCGGTTTTTTTATTACTGTACCTTTTTAGACACAAAATCCATGAAGTCAATTTGTCTAACATATATATTTTTTTTTCATTTATAATATCATATATTCGGTACATTTTTGTTTTACATTTGATATAAAAAATAATCTTGAACATTTAAATTTTGATATAAACTTTCTTTAAAAAGCAATCAAACGTGACTGTATAGAATAATAAAATGGTTCTATTTCTTTCTTTCATATTTCAAAAATATATGAAGTGTAAAAAAAACGTAGAAGAACAAAGAAAAAAATAACGATGAATGTGTTATATTTTATAATATTTTAAGCAAAAAAGAAGTTTTGAGTTATTATAACTACTTGTATGTGCGTCAACGATAAACAACGTATGAATAACGATACAAAACATTTATCCTATAAACATCGAGTACAAAACTTTTTACAAGAAGTTGAAAAAAAAACTCAACATTTTTTTGTTGAACATCCGGATGCCAAAATATTTGTGGAAAATGCGCGAGATATTGCAAAAAGAACGGAGCAACGTTTGAATGAGGCAAAAGTAAAAATACAAGTAAGTTTTAATAGAACAGACATAAAAGTATGGAGGTGGTGGTAATGAAAAGACTAACGGGACTATATACACACTTTTTTCGTCTAATATATTTTCTCAAACTTCTAAACGAACTTTTAATCAAATCTTTTCTTCTTTGTAAGATAATTTTCGTTTTTTGATCAATAAACATGAATATAATATTTCTGTTGATACCGGAGAATAAACTAATTTACCAGATGTGGTGTGTCTTGAAAAATATTGACGGCATAATGTACATTCATCATTCATTAGTTTGATTGTTTCCGTCTGACATAAGAAAAGTTTTGTCGTTTATTTTCTACAGTGTAAAATACATTTTCTAATGTATATATAAAAAGCGTTTGGACAAAAATCTCATAAAAATTTATTTCTAATAGACTTTCTTCTCCTTTGTTTTCTTTAAGGTCGGATGGGAAACTGTCTATACTTCGGTCGTCCCAATGCGAAACAGGCGCATCATGCCCGTCAGACACATATTCATTCTACTAACCATAGTGTTTTATCCTCTCCGCCACCTTCCTCTTCTTTATCACCATCATCTTTACTCATCTCATCTCAGATAGCATATAATGATAAAAATGGTGATGATATACACTCAAATATCAAATCTCCATCTTCGCCAGCATTTCGTTCACCATCAGCAACATCAACAAATTCGTCTTCAACAGCACCACCATCAACTGTAACAACAACACTTACGACAAATGCTTCAATTCCAATTTTAAATGGTCGTATTAATCCATCGTATAGAGCATCTTTACAATATATTGCCTTATTTGATTATGACGCGAGAACAAGTGAAGATTTGACAATACGAAAGGGTGATCTACTTGAAATTGTTAGTCGACAAAATAATGCTTGGTGGAAAGCACGATCCGATACGGGACGAGAAGGTTACATACCATCGAATTATGTTGCTAGACGAGATAGTCTTGAATCAGAACCGTATGTATTTATTCGTCTGTATATAGAATAACAGTGATTTTCAATCATGTCATTTTGTTCTAGATGGTATTTTAAATCGATTCATCGAATTGATGCTGAAAAGATTCTAATGTCTGAAGTGAATGAACATGGATCATTTCTAGTAAGAGATAGTGAAACTCGTCGAACAGATTTTTCATTGTCGATTCGTGATAATGAAACGATAAAACACTATCGTATACGACAAACAGAAGACGGTCGATTTTATATTACTCGTCGTACAACATTTTTATTGTTAACCGATCTAATTGTACACTATTCGCAACAAGCCGATGGTTTATGTGTAAATTTAAGACAACCATGTGTACATGTAAGTCTACTTGTTGATTCTATTTTTATTACAAAAAGACAAGACATGTATGTTTTTAATTATAGATAGTGAAACCAGAACCAGAAGGTTTGAGTCATAATACTGTTGACCAATGGGAAATACGTCGAGAAGACGTTAAATTAATTCGACGTCTTGGACAAGGGCAGTTTGGTGACGTGTATGAAGGAGTTTGGAATAATTCAACACCTGTCGCCATTAAAACATTAAAATCAGGTATAATTAATTTATTTTAATCCATAGAAATAATTAGTTGATTGCTGAATTTTAGGTTCAATGAACCCGTTAGATTTTCTTGCCGAAGCATGCATTATGAAAAAGCTTCGTCATCCAAATCTAATTCAGTTATTTGCTGTGTGCACAGTAGCAGAACCAATTTATATTTTAACAGAATTAATGAAGAATGGAAGTTTACTAGATTACTTACAAAGTAATATTAATTTTTGAATCATAACGAGAGACTATTACTTTTCAGTGTATAGGAACTAATTTCTAAAGAAAACTGGACATTTCTCTCAGCTCATTTTTTATTTTGGAGATAGTTGTATTATTCTTAACAAGAATTTCATTAATTCAAATATCTATTATCATCATCTCATAAAAACACTCAATATTGAAGATTATTATTCTTTCTTTGTTCACTTCAGGTCCACGCGGTCGACAATTAGAAATGCTAACGTTAATCTATATGGCCACACAAATATCTCGTGGAATGGCCTGTTTAGAATCTCAGAATTACATACATAGAGGTATTGAGATTTTTACTACATAATCATCGTCATATTAATTTTCTTTTATTTTTAGATCTAGCCGCTCGGAACGTTCTTGTCGGTGAAAATAATATCGTAAAGATAGCAGATTTTGGTTTAGCCCGAGTAATTAAGGTTCGTTATTGACTTTATTTTTACTTTTATTGTTTAGAATTTTTCTATATTATAGGATTATCATACTGGTATATATGATGCTAAAGAAGGTACTAAATTTCCGATTAAATGGACAGCACCAGAAGCAGCATTGTATAATACATTCACAATTAAATCAGATGTATGGTCGTTTGGAATTTTGCTTACTGAAGTTGTTACATACGGAAGAACGCCCTATCCAGGTTAGTGCTTTATTCACTAATTTATTATAAAATTGAAAAACTATTATTTTACTAAAGTTAGGAGAAAGAGCAGTTAATGATTTAAATAGTGAGGTAATGAAGTACAGAACTGCTATAAACATGATTAACTAATCATAACGTATTTATTTCATTGATATTTCGACAGAATCCACTGTCAT